TTCGTTAAGAAACGAACACGAACAGTGACTTCACGAACAATTTCGAACACGAGCTTATTTCAAACAAACTAAATTTTAAATGAACCGAACACTAACACCAGCTCTGTTCGTTTGTGTTCGTTCGTTTGCACTCCTGGTTGTAGGTAATAGTAGTTAGCCACATAAGTCAACTGCAGAGGGCATAACATTAGTTGGCCACAGACAACGTAGTGTAAAGCTATAGTATTAACTTGCCACATAGGCCGTAGTTGTTAGCTGCAAGAGCATCAGTCGGTCATAGAGATCGTAATGGGAAGCTACAATAACAACTGACCACTTATGCCATAGTTGATAATTATAAATGTTAGTTGGCCATAGAGGTTGTGGTGGGCCATAGAGGTTGTGGTGGGAAGCTATAATAGTTGGTGACTTCAACCCTTTTATCGATTTTACTATTTTATACCGGGGACATCACTTATCGGTATACGCCATATGGAGAAAACTTCAAGAGTCTAGAAAAAATCAAATTATTCTAAATATGACAATCGTAAGCATTTGTTGCATGGGGTTATTTCTAGATCTTCAACACACATTATTTGTTACACCGTATTTGGGATGTGTCGTTACACTATATTTGTGAGAATTCGTTATGTCATGTTTATGTTATATCATTATACCGTATTTGGGATTCGTTGTTATAATGTATTCAAGATATGTCATTACACCGTGTTTTGGATACAAAATTATACTGTGTTCGGGATACATCATTACACCATTTTCGGGATGTGTCGTTACTTCGTATTGGGCATATGTCGTTATATTATATTCAATATATATCATTACATCGTGTTTGGGATATGTCATTGCACCATATTCGAGATGTGTCATTGCACCATATTTGAGATACATCATTGTATCGTATTCAACATACATCGTTAGGCCATATTCGGAATACATTGTTACAGTCTGTTTAATATGCGCTATTACATTGTGTTAAAGACATGTCATTACACCGTAGTTAGGTTTGTCACACTATATTTTGGATATGTCCTTACGCTATGTTCAAGATATGTTATTACATCTTGTTTGAGATACATCGTTACACCATATTCAGAATATATCGTTACGTTGTATTCGAGATACGTTGCTACACTTATTCGGGATATGTCGTAATCCCGTATTCATGATATATCATTACACCATATTCAAGATATATTGTTAGCAAATTGAGTTTATCTACAATAATGAGCAAAGGAGCCGACAGAGGTCAACAACATCGGGTGCCAACAGTGTTTGACAGGCGGTGGTCGACAACTACGAGTGCTGAAAGTTATTTTTGGGTCTTCAACCCTTAACGACATTAGAATTAGACTTCTTCTTCTCGCAGCTCTCTCTTTAGTGAAGAGAGGGATCTATTTATAGCCTTTTAAGGCCAGACATTTTGATCATTTGACAGATAACTCCACAACAGACATTAGGTCATTTGCCCCCCCCCCCCCCCCCCACATTCATAGAGATTTTTTTGATGATTTTGTTGGTATCACTATTGATTTCGTATGTGTGGGATGTTTACTTGAGCATATTGAAACCAAGCTTCACACTTATGTTATTTCCTAGAGTTTAAGGCATCCACTTTGAGAATCTTCATCGCATGTTGAGGGGCACACAGACTGGGGTTCTGTTAGACTTTGGCTTTTGCGTAGGCAAAAGTCGGTTGTCATTTTGTCTGTTTGACAGCTTTGATCGAACCAACAAACCCCATTCACCACGCCGCACGCGAATCAAACTTAAATTGACTTGATCGACGAAGAATTATTTAAACAACCTCAGATAATAAAACTGACTATGCGAGTGCATCCCGAATGTCAATTTTACCTGGGGAGGACACCCATATTGTTATGGTGTCATGCACAAGTCAGTAACACACAAATCAGACAACTTAATATATATATA